TATGAGACTTTTGAAAAGAAAAGTTTAATCATTTTATGTACATCAAGAAAATGATTGTATGCTTTATTCCTTGAAGGAAACTTTATGTGGAAGTAATTGCAACATTATAGCAACCAAATTTTTTTTTTAAAAAAAAAAATTCCCTTTTGACATAATTTTTGCCTTTTAATTTACTTTTTTACAGGTATTACAGTCACTTCTAAATTTTGAGCTGATCTTTCCCTTTCAAATTACACAGATCGTCAGTATTTTTTTAAATCATGTCTTAAAATTATCATTAAGAGAGTTGAAATATTAAATTAAGAATTCTCATTTGAAAATTTTTTAGCATTACTGCCAGGTGCACAGCAAGAATTTTTTCATAAAGGGTAGAGGTTAAGAATTCTCTTTTTTTTAAAAAAAATTCCTTTATGACCTAATTTTTGCCTTTTATTTTACTCTGCTACATGTATTATAGTCTCTTCTAAATTTTGAGCTGATCTTTCCCTTTCAAGTACAGATCATCAGTATTTTTTTAATCATGTTTTAAAATTCTCATTAAGAAACCTCAAATTAAAGTGAGAATTCTCATTTGAAAAATGTTCATCATTATTCTGTGACCATGCAGGTGCAAAGCAAGAAATTTTCTGTAAGTCTCTTCTCTCTATTTATATCTAAAAATTAATTTCATTGTTTATTTTGAAGGTACAAAGAAAGTAAATGTGTAGTATAGTATTTTGAATATTATTTTTTTCTGTTAAGAAAGTATGAATATAAAAATTTTTATTTTGATCTGCTTAAAATTTCAGTATATTGCTATTCTTATGGGGAGGGAGAAGAGAGTTAAAATTCCCACATTAATCTCATCACTATGTCTTTGATACCAAATAATTGAGTAATTTATTTCATAAGATTTATAAACTTAACTCAATGGCGCAACAGCCCATGAGAGCCAAAACCTACTGTGCCCAACTCAGTATACGTGACCGTAGGCCCTGAGGTGCATGAGTAGATGTTCCGATCAGGTGGTCAGTCTGACCTGAAACTCCCAGTGTTTTGTTCCCAAGCAAGCTTGGTACTCATTTATTGATCCACCGAAGGGATGAATTGTTGAGTCAACCTTGCCCAGGCTGGGGTTTGAACCTTGGACCTCTGGTGTGGATACGTAGTGCACTAACCACTGGGCTTCATAAGATTTATATTTATTTTTTTTAACGTACTAAGAAAAATAAGTAATTGTAATTGTTTGTTAATATTTTATTTTATTGTAAGAAAACATGAGAAGCTTTGAAATTCTTAGTTTCTGTATTAAAGATCTGAAGTTCCAATTTTGATTTCTCAAATCCTAATTTTAAATATTCCAATAATTTTTATATGTAAAATTACCAAATGCTTATTTAAATACATTTGGGCAATAAATGTTATTTAAGTACACAACCTAAATATTAATGTTGCACATGCAACTAAATTTAAAAAATAATAAAACTATGCCAATATTATAAAATAAAAGCTTGTTAAATCACTTGTCTTTTTTTTAAATTTCGAATTAAATATTTTTTACCTTGAGAATAATTTAGCTGTCATACTTGGAAAACTGAATTTTTAAAAAAATTTCTGAGCTTTTTCAAAGGATTAAATCTGCTCTAAATCCCATAATTTACTTGGTACTAAAAAAAAATTAACACAACAGAAAGGAATCTGGCTCATTATTAATCACTGAATATTGTTAAGAAATGGATCAAATTTGAATGTTTCAAGAACGTTGATTTTGTATCTAATATATAATGGGTTGTTAGTTGTTGTTTCTAATCCCTATTTGAGCTATCTAAGACTAAACTTAACTCCATTTGAGCACTTCAAAATGCGTTACGGTGAAGTGAAAGAATTACGAGTCTGTACAATGGGTTAAACTTGTTTTTTGAAACTTCTCATTAAACAAGTAAGAAAAAAAAAAAAAATTAAGTCAATTCCTACTTAGGTTAACAAAGAAAATTTTTATTTTACTTTTTATAAAATAGTTACAATTAATATAAATGTGTATATACATATGACACACAGAATCGCAATATTAAGTTGTGACGTCTCTCGCGTCCTTCCGCTAACAAAACTCCTATGTTCTTTGAGGGCCCACGATTAATGGCAAAACCTTTTCCAACCCAATACCAAGAAGATAAACAAAAGATAATATGTAAATGAGATATACTATAAAAAAGGATAGAAGCTTGATGATAAGATATAGCGCGAAAAGCTTAGAGATAGTTTAGTGTGGAATCATTCTGATCGTTAGTGCGGCAAGTTTAAAGATAGCTTAGTGTGTTTTTGTAGATCAAGAGTTAGCAGTCCGATAGATTTGGAAAGAATAGAAGTCTTATATAAAGAAGTTGGATCTTCTTATACAAAGTGAATTTATAGCTATCTCTCTTTAGGTAAGGAAGGAGATCTGCAAAGGTAATATTTGATATAGTTAGTTGTTGAATCGGTTTATTAACTATAATTAAGATAAAGGATCTATTGCGTGATCTGACTTAAATACACGGTTTAATTGGTGTTAACTCTCACTTTAATTAAAATTGTCAAATTAGAATTTAAGTAATATAAGTTATTCTTAATAAAGTTGTATTAAGAACTACTATGTCTCATCATTTAGATAATCCCACACCTCTAGCTTACGCGGAACCGGCACGACATGGTCATCACAGGATGGCTTTCGCAATCCCGAACTTATATAATTCTGGGGGGGGAAATGAGGGGGAAGTACTGTTCTACCTGAAATGTACTTTTCGGGGTAAGAAATTGCGGGGATTTATCGAGTTATTGATAATAACATACAGTTACTTGAAATCCCAAAATCTGTCTTTTAAAACCTTTAAAAAAGTCATCTCAGGGAAGGGCTCAAGATTGGTATTCGATTTTTTTCGTTGTTAGTAAAATACAGCCAGGGTTTTTGCCCCAAAAACTGAATTGGGTGGTTTTTCCGGGTCAAAATAAGAAGAACTACAGTCGCAGTTCTACGCGTCCCAGCAGGAAGAAATCAGGATCCTACTGATTTCGTTCATAGTAAAAAAATAGAGAAGTTTAGTTTAGGTGTCCCAACAAAATTAGTGGATCATATTTTAGTTCGACTCGAACCACAGATACAAGATATGTGGAGGTGCGCAATCCAAAAAACACGATAAACTTTTAAAGTCTTCAAATTGAAGAAAATATTCTTGCAAATTAAAAGGGGGTTATGAACGATAATATAGAAAGACGAGGGCAAAATGCGCAAGGATGCCAATTTTGAAGCTAATGGTAAAACTGGAGGAATTTTAAAAAGGGCGGCCCAAAAAACAGTAGAAATGGTTTTTCAGTACCGTCAAAATAATAGAGGGGTTAGAGGAATAGGTTTCAGAATAAGATCAAAGATTCAGCAACAGGGGGTTTCTCATTTCGAAATGGCGAAATAAATTTTAATAGGGGACCGTAGAAATAAGGGTTCAATGAAAATTTCAATGGGCGATAGGACGCAAAGGGGACGATTAAATATTTAAAGGTTAATGATCAACCTCAAGGGGTGTCGACAAAAGAACAAATTTGATTTCCCTATATGTATATCACCCGTAAACTTCCCCCCGTTCCTATTTTTTAAATAACCATTTTTGAAAGCGCTATGGACACCGGGGCAGATAAATCATTTATATCGGAAAAGTATATAAAAAAATTTTTTTTATAAGCAAATTAAAAAACCGAGCCCAGGTAATAACAGCCGGGTGCGAAATGCCAAAAAAGGGGGTTGGGGTGAATACGGATGAAATTTGAAAAGGTTTGGGCATTTCATGTGTTGAAGATTTAAATCCCATGTATTCTAGGTATCGATTTAAAGTGGGCATAAATTAAAACAGTAATTTTAAGTTGGCCTAGTTATTGGAGTAAAATTTTTGTCACAGTTTAAATTTAAATTGAATATTAAAAATTTTAAATTTTAAGATGAGTAATGAAAAAAAAGTCAAGATAAATATTGGAAAAATAAAAATTAAAATTTAAGATTAAAAATTGAATGAAAATTAAAGTCAAGATAAATATTGGAAATTTTAAAAGTTAAAATGAGGATTTAAGATTAAAATTTAAATAAAACTCAGAAAGCGAAGAAATTTAGAAATAGAGATTTAGACACGTAATTTATTAAGGGCATTGAGAACCCTTAAGTAAATCACGTTTTTCTTCTTGGAGGGGGTTGTGACGTCTCTCGCGTCCTTCCGCTAACATAACTCCTATGTTCTTTGACGGCCACGATTAATGGCAAAACTTTTCCAACCCAATACCAAGAAGATAAACAAAGATAATATGTAAATGAGATATACTATAAAAGGATAGAAGCTTTGATGATAAGATATAGCGCGGCAAGCTTAGAGATAGTTTAGTGTGGAATCATTCTGATCGTTAGTGCGGCAAGTTTAAAGATAGCTTAGTGTGTAATCTTGTAGATCAAGAGTTAGCAGTCCGATAGATTTGGAAAGAATAGAAGTCTTATATAAAGAAGTTGGAATCTTCTTATACAAAGTGAATTTATAGCTATCTCTCTTTAGGTAAAGGAAGGAGATCTGCAAAAGGTAATATTTGATATAGGTAGTTAGTTGAATCGGTTTATTAACTATAATTAAGATAAAGGATCTAGTTGCGTGATCTGACTTAAATACACGGTTTAATTGGGTGTTAACTCTCACTTTAATTAAAATTGTCAAATTAGAATTTAAGTAATATAAGTTATTCTTAATAAAAGTTGTATTAAGAACTACTATGTCTCATCATTTAGATAATCCCACACCTCTAGCTTACGCGGAACCGGCACGACATGGTCATCACAGGATGGCTATGTCGCAAAGTGACAAAATAGAAAGCTATTTTTCTTGCAATTTTTTTTTATTTTCCTTTCTATATATGGTGGACTATTTATTTTTTGTTTGTTACTATTTATTCATTAATTAAATTTAATTATTCTAATAAAATAGAGTAAAAAAGGAAACACATTTCAGAAATTAGGTCATTCCAGGTAGGATTCGAACCCACGACCTTTGGATTAGTAGTCTAATGCGCTATCCATTACGCTACAGAAACACTACGGACGATTTTCCTTTCTATATATGCTGTTGAAATATTTTTGTTTGTTACTATTTATTCATTTTTTAATTTAATTAATGAATTTATATTTGAAAAAATGTATTAACATCAAGTGTCATCTACTACAAGTTTTAAAAAAATGGATGAATAGAAAGTATTTTATTAATGATTGAAAATTTGAACTATATACATATATAGGGAGACAGTGAACTATTAGTAGGAATTGAAATAAATACCAGTTACAATAAAAGTATGAATAATAGCAATGAACTTTAAGACTACTTGTGCAAATTCGATAACCATCGCTTTTCTAAAGAAATGGACACTTATAAAGAAGAGGAAATGTAGCAAAAGAAGTCTTATCCTATTCGCTACAAGTTGATGCTTCCAGGCGAGTAAATATGGTCCTACGACTGTAGGATCAATAAATCTTAAGATTCGTTGTCTTGAAATGTTCCGGGTCGAAAACGAGTTGCAACACTTCCGTGAAACCTTTTTCTATCTCTCGCCCACAGAAAAAGGAAAAACACTACTATATGCTTCAACTCGTTGCTGATCATTTTGTTATATCTGGAACAAGAACCTGCTACTTCGACGCAAATACGCCTGCACAATGTAGGTCTGCATGTAAGACGGCTATTGTGTCTGCTTTCCTAAACCGACCACTAAGATGTACCCTTTTATGATGGTAAGAAAACACGTTTCCTGGACCAGATGACAACGGACTTTTGTACTCGTCACAAATGAATCCAGGTACACATTGGAAATGTTGATCTGAGGGAGCAACTCACCAGATACAATCAGTCCAGCAGGGGCGTAACAAACACCCCTACATCGGGGGTTCCAGAGTTCTAAGGAGCCAAAAACTTGACTTTGCAGGGAGCCCTAATATTCTCCGTTACGCCACTGCAGTCCAGCATTTTTGTGTCATAGTTATACAGAGGATGGAATCATGGTTTAGTTATAGTGATAACTATGGTCAAACTGACCTGCATGTGTTCAATGGATGAACTTAGGTGCGTGATATCGGCACGAGATTCTTCACCAATATGTCAAATCGAATTCATTTTTATGGAATGATAACATGGGACCTTAGCTTGTTTAGGACTATCTTGAGGATAACGATTTAGAATGAATTGAATGGCCAACTCAACCTCGATGAATTCGATAGAACTTATTTCGGGCTTCATAACATTAAATTTATAACATGACCAAAATGAATGATGAAAAATAGTGCTAAAAATTTTTCGATACAATCTTTTTTATAATAAAAAATTAAGCTCACACATGTTTGTTTTTGTCTCATATCGAATTAGATCAGAATTCAACAATTTTTTAGAATTAGGGGAGACCTGTGTACCTAGGGCCACTTTTTTTCAATGCACAAAAACAGAGCCACTGGCCTCTAAAAATGTGAAACTGATATGCATTCATCATTATACTAACTACCATCCAATAGGAGTTGATGAAAGTACTTAAAATAATAAATTCTGTGAAATAAAAGGTTTTTAAAAAAATTCACAAATGGCCCTAGGTACAACGATGTCATTGTACCTAGGGCCAGCAGCTGCTGTACCTAGGGTCTTTCTCTGGAACTTAGATTTTGCTCTGCAATCAATAGAAAACGAACATACACACATGAATTTAATAAAAGAATCAATATTAGCTAACATTAATTTATCATGCAACTATTTAATTTGCAATGCGCCCAATTATTAATGAATTACATGTATTTTCATTAAACATTATAATTTAAAAAACTGGTTTCCAAATTGAGCTGCATACATTGTCGCTCTGAAGCACCAACAGATTGTGGTTTAGGCAATTTGAACACAGTATTTCTGTTGTCAATTTAAGTTTCTTTTTTATCATAAAGAAACTTATTTGAACGAGCAATATTCTTCAGAAATTTAACACTTTAGTGTTCTTTAACATCTATTATTTCTGCTACAAAAAATGTTCAATTTTTTGGCCTTGTATTTTGTTAAACAACCCCCTTTTCAATAGTATTTCTTACATCAGCTACTGTAGAATTTGCATCATCAGTGGATTGAGAATTTTCAATATCTGATAATTCTTTGGCTGAAGTTGCCCCTTAATTTCAAACTCAGGTTTTTTCACAAGTTTTCTTTTCTTTTTTTTTTTTTTGGGGGCAATTTTAATAACATGATATTTTTTATTCCTTCATTTTCTGGAGTGTCAGTCAAGATTCTACCTCTTCCTGGTTTTCGGCCACCTTTGTTGGATTTACTTTGAGAATTATGCTTATTAGAAATTATTTAGAATTATATGCTTCTGTTTTTATAATTATAAAGAATTTTTTTATTAAATGAACTCTTCTGTTTGTGTAAACAAAATAATAATCCTGAATAATAATAATGGTAGCAAACATATTTTTTTATAAATCAAGCATTTTGAAAGTTTCAGAAAATATACACTCCTCTCATTTAAATAACATCCAATTATAATAAAAAACTTGACTAAATCAAAATGGTTCAGATAATTAAGGCCACTTTCCTCCTTATATTATAAAAAACTTTTTTAATGAAATAACAACAAAGAATAATAATTGCAATTGTACCTAGGGCCATGGTCCTAGGTACAAGGCAACTATGTGGCCCTAGGTACAAGACTAGGTAATTTCATACAAAATGTCTTCTGCAGAAAAACCCAGATGGAAAGGGGATTTATTTAAAATCTAATTTAGTACTTAGTCACAAACAAAATTATGTACTCTAGAATTCAAAGAAAAATATTTGACTTATCAATGTACAACAATAAAAAGAAATGAACTGCAAAATTTTACTTTAGACCATGTAAAACTGTTTTTCATTTATAACTTGCCACAGCTTTCTTTTGCAAAACTTCAAAATGAAAGTAGATTAATTTATTAAGTAGATTAATTAGATAACAAAATTTTTCATTGCCAAAGTAGGAATTGGTGTTGTCACTCACCCAACTGAGTTATAATACTTAGAACTAAATATTATTTAAATAAAATGGGGTGGCCCTAGGTACACAAGTCTCCTCTACTCTGATGATCATGATTTGTTTGTGTGTTTGCATCAACAACTAAGAAGTTTTTCTATAGTATTTATTGTGACATAACGTATATAATTGTAATTTTTTCATAATACCCAGCACGCAGTTTTTTCGTAATACACAGCTACAGGAACTATCATTAATTTTTAATCCTTAGGATGCATTTTATTACATTTAAATCAAAACGAAATATTAGATTTAAGAGAAAATTTTTGAATGATTAACATTAAGTTTTTGATATCAATATGATTAGTAAATAGGGATACAAACTGATAAACGTTATAAACACTAAAATAACAGTATTTCTTTATAATTTTTAGATTCAAGACATCGAAATATTTGACATTATTCTCAGCAAAAAACCACAGTTATATATAACTTGTTGCATTTTTTCATTTTTGTAACTATTTTGAAAGTAGCCAATTATTTATAAGGTGCTAAATATGGCAGCCCAAGCACAGACTACTACTTTGTAGATTATAGACTTCGTTGCCATCAATGTTGAGTATTATGGATCCACACTAAGCGATTCCTTTCTTTACTTGTACACTGCTGGCCACCGTAAATGCAACACCAAGAAAGACAAGAGATAACACAACAAAATTTATTTTGTAGATAGCATGTTGACCAAGTATCAAATGATTAAATTTATAGACTTCTGTGAAGTGTGGTTCCTGCCAGAATTAGTAGCCAGAGTAGCCACCATTGCTGGAGATCACCGCTGCCACACGCCTCGGCATTGATTCAAAGACACTTTGGATGTCTTCTTGGTGTACAGCACACAAGCAGCTTCCACACGTTGCCAAAGTTGATCTGGTGTGGCAGCTGGGGGTGTAATCTGGGTCAATCGTTGAACAACCATGGACCACATGTTTTCTATCGGCGAAAGATCAGGAGAGAGAGCCGGTTAGGGAAGCAATTCAATCTGGTGATTGACGAAGAACCTTTGGACAATGCGTGCCACGTGTGGTCATGCATTATCCTGTTGAAATATGGCTGTGGCTAAGCCCTGAAGGTAAGGAAGGACAACTGGCTCCAACACCTCGGAGATGTAGCGCTGGCTGTTTAAAGTACCGGCAATGCGTACTAGAGGAGTGCGAGAGTGATATCCAATACCACCTCGTATCATAATACCCGGTGCAGGACCAGTGTGGCGATGAATAACGTAGCTGTTCAGCATCCTCTCTCCACGGTGTCTCCAGACTCGAATCTGACCATCGTGGTGTTGCAAACAGATCCGTGACTCGTCAGCAAAGACAATTTCATTTCATTCTGTCACCCACATCCTTCTTTCATCGCACCATTGGCGGCGGAGACGTTTGTGGTTCTGCGTCAAGGGTAGATCAAGCAATGGACGTCTTGCGGACAGAACATTCTGCTGTAAACGGCGTCGAATGGTTCGCGCAGACACTGAATGATGCGTTACAGACTCAATGTGCTGTGCTATGGTTTGTGATGTGACTGAGCGATCTGTCACTGCCATGCGCACAATTCGACTGTCCTCACGTGAAGTGGTGCACTGAGGTGGATGCGATCGACCACGTTGGTCCATCGTACCCTCCTGCATCCAACGGTCACAAATCTTCATTACATTTGTTTGGTTTCGTCTAACACGACTACCGATTTTTCTGAAAGATAATCCACAATCTCGGTAGGCCACTATCCTTCCTCTGTTGAACTCGAATACTTGATCAAAAGCTGATCGCTGAGCATTTTTTAAAAAAACCACAAGAAAAACACAATTGCCGAACTTGAAATCGTCGAAATCTCCAAGCCTTAAACAGCGCTTTGAGGTGGCGCCACAGGCGCGCGTGATGTGTGCCTGCGCTGAAATTCTAATCATTTGCATATCTCACCTCCGCTAATACATGTTGTAAATTTTATGTTATTTGCATGCTTCCTTCAGGGTGTTGCATGTACGGTTTCCAGCAGTGTACATAGGAACTTTAAAGAAG